AGCGCCGCCGCGCTTCCCAAGCAGCGCACTGTAGCAGTGCGCCACCGGGCCGGCCCCTCTAGTGAGTTTTTGTAGACAGCTTTCCTATGTTTTATTAAGTTTTCCACCTCTACTTAATTCTCACTTTTCCAAATAATTAATGATTGGTGCATTAGCTTTGTGGCAGTAACGACTCCCAAATTTGCAGTGGCCTGCAAGTAATACACACCTTTTTCTCACTCACATTACATGCTGGCTGTGAGTGGGCTGGGGTCTTGAGTCTGGGGTCCAGGCTGAAGGAGCAGCCCAGATATGGAGCTGGAGTGACAGAAAAGAGGAAGACACAGAGCCCACCACACCATTACTCTCAGAGCCTGGCTGGAGTGTGTGTGGTGGGGGAAGCCTGCTTTATATTCCTCCTGCATCATCCTGCATGTCCCATGGGGCTGTATAATCCTCTTTAAGAGAGGCAGCAAGCAGCCACAGTCCGCAGCCAAGCAAACTGCCAAACTAGAGGGGCAGAGCTTCAAGGAGGGAATTCCCTTCCTCTGCGCACCTGAACACAACATCTATTCACCATTCATCACTATATTCCAAAGCTTAAAAAAAAAAAGCGTTGGTCGGAGACTGTGTATTCACTTAACAGATATTCATTAAATGCTCACTATATGCCAGGCATTGTTCTAAGTACTGGGAATGTAGCAGTGAACAAAACAGACAAAAATCCCTGTCCTCATGAAATGTATATCTTCGTGGGAAGAGACAGACCATGAGCAAATGTACAGTATGTCAGGTGTTTATAAGGCTGTGACAGGGCCGACGTGCCCACAGTCCACCATGGTGCATTCCCCAGGTAGCCTCCAGCACTGGGTTATTTTAATTCACAGGTTGTAAGTAGTTAATGGAGCAGAAGTGTTAACCTAGCTATCCTCAAGCATCATCAAGTGGGTAAAGAATCAGTAAATAAATAAATATAGCCTCTAATTCTTGAGCTTTTACGCTGTGCAGGACACTGTGTTCCTTGCTGACTAAAACCAGTGCATTCAAAATAGTTCTGTGTGTACGGACCTAGTTTACTGGGTATTTAAGAGCTCTTGGGACTCTTCTGAGGTCTTCCTAGGAGCCAAGCAGCCCCCATGGGCAGAGAACTGAGTCATGTTGAACAATTTTTAAGGGCAGCCACTGAATAAAGGG